TTTATTGTTGCTTTATTGTCTTATTTATTATTTGGTGATGTCATAATTTTTGGTATAGTAGTTGTGACTCATTCACACTATATACATTTGGATTCCGTAACAATTGGTATCAGAGCTAATGTACTGTCTAAGTATGCTCTGTGGTTACAACATAGTCTGATCTTCCACATCAGAAAAGATTTATCTTGGTAGCTGAGTCAAGGTTCTGTCTGAGTATGCTCTGTGGTTGCAGCTTAGTCTGATTTTCCACACCAGAAAGGAAATAATCTTGATTTGTGTCGTCAGCTATTAAATAATATTTGTGTCAAAGATGGGAGACAATAAACAAGAAGAATCTACATCAAGTGTCAACAATACGTCATCATTGACATCTTCGCTTATGACAAGAATTGTGTCAAATGGAAAATTTACGGTAGAACTTTTTGACGGGTCAGGACATTTTGGGATGTGGCAATGTGAGGTTCTAGATGTTCTTTTTTAACAAAGGCTAGATCTTGCCATTGAAGAAAAAAGACCAGATGTTATTAGAGAAGAAGATTGGAGAATTATCAACCATGTTGCTTGCGGTACCATTCGATCCTACCTTGCTAGAGAGCAGAAATATCCATACACAAAGGAAACTTTTGCAAGTAAATTATGAAAAGCACTGGAGGATAAATTTTGAAGAAAAACAGTCAAAATAAATTGTACATGTAGAAGAGACTGTTTCGCTTCACCTATGTTCCTAGTACCACGATGAATGAACATATCACCAGTTTCAATAAGTTGGTCACAGATTTGCAAAATATGGATACAACTTTTGATGATGCTGACTTGGCCTTGATGTTGTTGGGGTCACTTCCTGATGAGTACGAGCACCTTGAAACTACTCTACTCCATGGAAATGACGAAATTTCTCTCAGAGAAGTTTGTTCGGCTTTGTACAGCTATGAACAAAGAAAGGGAGAAAAACAGAAGGGCGAAGAAGGAGAAGCACTGGTTGTGAGGGGTCGTCCTCAAAATCAAACAGGACAAAGAAGGGAAGATCCAAGTCAAGATCTAGACCCAGCAAAGATGAATGTGCCTTTTTTCGAGAAAAGGGACACTGGATGAAAGACTGTCCGAAGTTGAAGAATAAGANACTGTCCGAAGTTGAAGAATAAGGCCAAACATAACAATGGAAAGGCCATTATGGATTCAAATGTAGCTGATTGTGATGATTCAGACTTCTCATTAGTTACAACAGAGCCATCAACATCATCAGACATATGGTTGATGGACTCGACTTGTAGCTATCATATGTGTCCTAATAGGGACTGGTTCGTGAATTTTCAAGAAGGAGAACACGGAGTCGTCCACACAACGGATAACAGCCCTCTTACCTCATATGGCATTGGTTCAATACGATTAAAGAACCATGATGGAATGATCAGAACATTAATAGATGTTCGATATGTACCGGGTTGGAAGAAAAATCTCATCTATGTGGGAGCCCTAGAATCAAAGGGTTCAAAATCATAGCAGAAAATGGAGTGATGAGAGTATGCTACGGTGCACTAGTGGTAATTAAGGCCAATCGGAAGAACAATAACATGTACCATTATCGCAATAGTACAGTTATTGGGACAGCGACAGTAACATCCAATGACGAAAAAAAGGCAGAAGCAACCAAGCTATGGCACATGTGCTTGGGACATGCTGGAGGAAAATCCTTGAAAACTCTATTAGATCAAGGTTGTTAAAAGGAGTAAAGGTTTGCAATTTGGAGTTTTGCGAGCATTGTGTCAAAAGAAAACAGACAAGGGTTAAATTTGGTACAACGATCCATAATACTAAAGGCATTTTGGATTATGTACACTGATGTTTGGGGTCCTTACAAAACACCTTCATTGGGTGGGAAGCACTATTTCGTAGCCTTTGTTGATGATTTTTCCGAAGAGTGTGGGTATATACAATGAAGAGAAAAGATGAAGTGTTCGGAATTTTTCTCAAATGGAAGACGATGGTGGAGAATCAAACAGGTAGGAGGATCAAGTGTATTCGCACAGACAATGGAGGTGAATACAAAAATGATCATTTCAATAAGGTCTGTGAAATTGATGGCATCGTCCGACACTTCACTGTCAGACGTACACCACAACAAAATGGAGTGGTAGAACGTATGAACCGAACCTTGCTGGAGAAGGTACGGTGTATGTTGTCCAATGCTGGCTTGGACAAAGAATTTTGGGCTGAGAAAATTACATATGCATGTCACCTCATTAATCGCTTACCATCTGCTGCTATTGATGGCGCATGCTGTAGATTATGACTGTTTGCACGTATTTGGCTCAACTGCATATTATCATGTGACACAGTCAAAATTGGATCCAAGGGAAAAGAAGACTATTTTTATGGGGATTACTTCTGGAGTCAAAGGATATCTCTTATGGTGTCCTATGACAAAGAAAGTAATATTCAGTGGGGATGTTACCTTTGATGAATCTGCTATGGTAAATAAGGTAACAGAAGATACCAAACAAAATGAGGGTGCTTCTAAGCAGGTAGAGTTTGAGGGAAAATTTGTTTTTCCTACACAAGAAGCAGAGTAAGAAATAAATGAAGATTATCCTCTGGAAGAAGAGCCAGTAGAGAGGGAGATTCCAACTCAGGAAGCTCATCAACAACTTGAATCAATAGCAACCAGCAGGCCAAAAAGGACAATAACAAAACATGTTCGTCTTATAGAGACAGTTGCTTGTTCCACCTCAATTATAGCTGATGATGTTCCTACCACTTATAAAGACGCAGTCCAAAGTTCAGAAGAAGATATGTGGAGGATTGCCATGAATGATGAAATACAGTCTCTTCATCAGAATCATACATGGAGATTGACCAATCTCCCGAAGGGAAAGAAAGCAATTGGGTGCAAATGGGTATTTGCAAAGAAAGAAGGATCTCCTAACCAAGAAGATGTTCGCTACAAAGCAATATTGATGGCCAAAGGATATGCTCAAAAGGAGGGAATTGATTACAATGAAGTGTTTTCTTCAGTTGTAAAACATTCCTTCATTAGAATTATGTTGGCTTTGGTAGTATAGTTGGATTTGGAACTAGTTCAGATGGAAGTAAAAACTGCGTTTTTACATGGAAACTTGGAGGAGGAAATCTACATGACTCAGCCAGAAGGATTCAAAGTTGCTGGAAAGGAAAATATAGTGTGCAAACTTGAAAAATCATTGTATGGATTGAAACAATCTTCTAGACAATGGTACAAACGATTTGACGAGTTTATGTTGCGGCAAGGGTACAAGAGAAGCAAATACGATCTTTGTGTGCATTTGCTCAAGCTTAAAGATGGTTCCTTTGTGTATCTTCTCCTATATGTTGATGATATGTTGATAGCTTCCGAGAATTCGGAAGAAATTGATAAGTTGAAGATTCAACATAAGAAGGGGTTCGAGATGAAGGATCTGGGTGAGGCAAAGAAAATTCTTGGCACGGAGATAATAAGAGATAGACGTTCAAAGAAACTCTGTTTATCTCAAAAAGAATATTTTAAGAGAGTACTACAACGCTTTGGCATAGATGAGATGACTAAGCCGGTTAGTACTTCACTTGCTCCCCATTTTAAGTTAAGTACTACTATGTCGCCAAAAGATGAAGCTGAACAAGAGTATATGTCAAGGGTACCATATGCAAATGTTGTTGGTAGCTTGGTGTATGCAATGGTCTGTACGAGACCTGACATTTCACAAGCTGTTGGAGTTATTAGCAGATATATGCATAATCCAGGAAAGGAGCATTGGGTGAAATAGATTCTATGGTATATTCATAATACTGTAGATGTTGGGTTAGTTTTTGAGCAGGAAGGCAATCAATCTGTAGTTGGATATTGTGACTCAGATTTTGCGGGTGATCTGGACAAACAAAGATCAACTACTGGTTATGTGTTTACTTTGCAAGAGCACCAGTTAGTTGGAAGTCAACTTTGCAGTCAACAGTTGCTTTGTCTACAACAGAGGCAGAGTACATGACTATTACAGAGGCTGTGAAGGAGGCAATTTGACTTCAGGGGTTGTTAAAAGAGCTTGACATTGAACAAAAAAGTATCACAATTTTTTGTGATAGTCAAAGTGCTATTCAGTTAGCGAAGAACCAAGTTTATCATGCAAGGACGAAACACATTGATGTTCGGTATCATTTCGTACGAGAAATCATAGAAGAAGGTGGAGTACGGTGAAGAAAATTCACACTACGGAGAATCCTGCTGATATGCTGACAAAGGTGGTGACTGCGGTCAAGTTTTAACATTGTTTGGATTTGATCAACATTGTTGAACACTAAAGATTGAAGATGAAGACACAACCAAAATTTGTTATTAAGAGAAAATTGAAGATAGTGAAATTTTTGCCAAGATGGAGATTTGTTGAATGCCAAAATGACCCACATCGGCGAAGGAAGAAAGTTGTTGGAAATTTTTCCCTAAGGCCTAATGTTTAGGATTTAAACACACCTCTCATATACCTTTCTTATCTTCTTAGGCCTAATGTTTAGGATTTAAACACACCTCTCATATACCTTTCTTATCTTCTTAGGCCTAATGTTTAGGATTTAAACACACCTCTCATTTACCTTTTTTATCTTCTTAAGCATTTGTATCTCCTCTCTTTAGTATTATTTCACTTGTAAAAATTAATTTATTATTTGGTAGCTGTCATTTTATTGCTGCTTTATTGTCTTATTTATTATTTGGTGGCTGTCATAATTTTTTGTATAGCAATTGTGACTCATTCACACTATATACATTTGATTTCCGTAACAATATTTGACTTCCGTAACAATATGTATGTATATGTATATACGTATGTATGTATCGCTCTAGCTAGTGACCATAGTATACGAGGAAGATATGTGCGTGATACCAGATGCACCTAGATTCTTACTCTTATCCGCTTAAGCCCATCTCGTAGATTTATAGGAGGATAGGGCAAAAGTCATAAGTCACAAGGAAGGAATTAATAGACAAAATATAGACGAAGACACAGGAAGGTCACTTTATTTATATAATTTGGTGTCGTCGATCATAAAAGCCAACACCAACATCCACATACAAGCGGGATAGTAACCCCTCTTAACCATAAAAAAAAAAAAAAAAAAAAACAGCCATATTACATTAATGAAAGTTGGGGGAATACCCAGAGCTTCATTTTTCTAAAAGGTAGAGCCAGTCCCATAACCAGTGCCAGTTCCTCCACCAACATGGGGATGTTGAACTCCATGTCCTGCAGCTACATTGTGTTCTTTGGCCTCTCTCTTTTCCAGCTCTGCTGCTGCTTTCTTGTCCTCTTTCTTGTCCGTCGCCATTTCTTTCTTCAGTGGATCCCTAGTAGTCATCCTCTCCGCCTGCTCATTTTTAAGAAACCAAAACTTTGTACTATTAGATATATAATTAAGTTCAATAATTCAGATTTTAAAACGTTCATTGAATACATTATACTTTAGCAATTATAAGTTTAAAACTTAATACTCCGTCCACTATAACTAATAAATACACCTGAATAATGGCAATATCAAAATAAAGAAAAGTGTAGGGAACCTTTTCTTGAACAGTGGCTTTGGTTTTCTCCATGCCAGCCTTTGCTGAGGCTGCTGCGTCCTTTGCTGACTGCATTTTCTTCCTTTCTTTTCTCTGATAAGATAAGATTGTCTTTGTTCCTCGTTGCGTACTTTCGTTGTTGCTGTTGTTACAAGATGAGAGAAGAAGTCGAATTTGTAAGGGTTTATATAGGAGTTGGATGGAGAACCAAGTGATGCCACGAAGATAATGTAACTGTACGCGTGGAGAGTCGTGAGATGTAGGATTGCTGAGGTTTTAACACGTTTGCAGTAGTTGTCTAGATACGCATGTTTTTTATGGATTTATATCAACTGTTCAGCGGTTGAAAAATAATATATACGTACTATATATCAGCTCCTCGTTGGGATTAATATGTTCCGGTAGCTAATATTACTCATTTCGTCAATTGTTTCAATTTCGAGTATCAACAACAACAAACCCTTTTTTTTTCGGCAACAAACCCAGTCGATCCCAACAATTTCTCGTATCAAACTTCTAAATTTTAATTGTGAATTTAAATATAATTATTTAATAATAAAATTTATATATTTAAAAAGTATATAAAACATAATATAAAATATAATAATTAATTATTTAACATATTTAAAAGCCATACAAAAAATTTATGATCAAAGAATAAATTGTTTGATCCTTGAAATTCGAATGCCAGATATATTAAAATAGAGAGAATAATATCATTTATCTGCACGATCAGCTTAAATAATTTTTGAAGTGAAGAAAATTAACTAGACCATTTTAATTTTTTTTTCTCTTTTAGATGTTTGTTTTAATAGGTACTACATAAATAATATATATTAGGTATAATTTTATTAGTTTCGTGAAATATTTTAAACCTGTGACGATATACTAATGTCTCTTCTATCTTAAATTTGGGGTGGTACTCGTCCTATAAGTTTGTTGAATAGAAAATACGGAGTACAAGCTCCTAAGAAGTGGGGTTTGCCATTAATTTCGTGACTGAAAAAATAGTACAACAAAGAAAAACACATTAGGTCTCCACAGATCTTTCTGAGATGTATTTGATTTTACTATTTTTATTTTAACCTACCTTCATTTGTCTGTATAAAGACAACATGTTTTCCTACGTAAAGTTTTGATTTGCAACCTATAGAAATGTCTCTAATATATCAATTACTACATTGTCATATTCATACGCGGTTCAGATTTCCGCATATTTTTGCTTCCCTTTACTTTAGTTCACAACGAGGTTGGACCCTTCTCCTAACATAAAAAGAATATATGAACAGAATTTCAACCAACGATAGTCTATTTCTTTCTACTAGTAGGGGTAGCTCGGGCTTCGCCCGGGCCCAACGTGAACAAAGAGGTATATTGTTATTCTTCCGATTATGACTCTAACATATCAACTGGAATGTTTTACCATTTTTTAACAAATCGCTTTGTCAACAGAAAAATACTATAAGCACCCAATTAGACAATTCTTATGTTGTCTAACGCTCCATTCTGCCATTAGGTAGCCATATAAATTGAAAGTTGTTTTCACAGGTACCATTCAAATGTTGATAATGTTCCAAAGCATTGTGCTGCAAGCTCAATATTTTCAGCCAAAAGGCTCCCAATTTTCCAAGGAAGGACGGACATCAGAACCAAAAACGGATCCTACAAGAAGGTTAAAAACGACTTCAAAGCTGACTAACTAATCATAATGCTCTACCTTGTTATTGCTATAAAACTTACCTGTGAGCCAGAGAAGGTGAAGTTCCCACCGGATTGCAACTAGGTGGTCACCCATTTCTTAACGGACGTGGTGAGGCCCTGGTTCACAAGGAAAATATTTTAAGTCCAGCACATTAACATTGCCAACCTTTGCAACTCATCATCCATGGTATCCACAACCCTTTCATATGTCAAATAATAAAAAATGTTTGTTGCCTGTCTGACAATATCTCCAAAGATTCAGTGAAATTCAAAACCTGCAACTGGTTTAACAATTATTTGAAGTTAAAGCTTACATCAACTGCTGGTTAGCCCTGCTGCTTGCAACCAAATACCAAATCAATCCAGTGGTGGAGATTTGAGCTCTCACATTCGCTTTCAAGGGTTTCTCTGTTCTTATAAATAAATTCTAGAGCCGCGATATTAACAAAAGTCTGCCTAGAAAAGTATATGGTTAGTGACGACGATGAACATCTCTTCAGTAGTTTCTCGCATTGTCTAACAGAGCAAAAGATGTCACCTGTCGTTGAAACTCACATTACCGAGGAGTTGACTTTATTTTTATCTTTCAGTCAAATTTGATACACATCCACCTATATTCTCCAACGATGAATTCACAAGTCGCACAAAGATACATCGCAGCAGAGTTACCTAGTACTAAAAGGTATTAAGAGAGCAATACAATTATGACCGTGTTATAAAATAGCAAACGTAAGAAAGTCTGATAGCTGCTAGAAATGACAGAAAATGAATAACCTGGAGTTTGGTATATATAATGAGAGAAAAGTAATCTTTGAAAAATTTACAAAGAGGATGTAGTAGGACTAATGAAGATAAAATTGTGTACTCAGGGAGGCAATATGATTATACCCAGATGCAGTCAATCTAATGGAAGTCCATTTAAATTATTTTGTTGTGCCAGTAATGCCCACAAATTCTGATCACATTTATACTAAGTTATAGGTTCAAATATGTATTTTAGAAGATTAGAATCAACTAATAAAGTTAAAGGCCATGTAGAAATAAGTCATAGAAGGAACTAGTAATTTCCATGAGGCAGATCCAATTGCAGGTTTCCAAAGGATCAATTCCCATGAGGAAAGTTAAATAATTTCTCAAAGTTGTTAATTCTTACCACATCACTTATTTGGTCAACTATCTTTATGTTTGAAATCTTCAAAGTAACTTGATTCCAATTGAAATGAGAAATTGATTTCTAATTTGCAGAACTTTGGGATTTAACGGGAGTATTCATCTCAAACAAGGTAAGTATCATAAATCGTAAGTCTCCTAACAGAGATTCTGAAATAAAAAATGCTGATACCTCAATTTTTGATATATATAATTTCAGTAGGTCTTCTTGTTTTGCAGTCTATCTCTTTGGCTAACTGCTAGTAATTTTTGGTTAAGGGATAGATCGCAAGAAACTATACATTAATTCAAATGGTGCCAAATTTATCTTGTTGTCACAAATCAAAATTTATAGGCCAGATGAATTTCAAGGGTTAGGTTCTTTCATCGATCATGCCATTCAACATGCAGCACAAAGGTGTTATTGTTTAACCAAAAAATAGAATTTTAGTCAAAATTAGAATTTAGAAGAACGCGGATTACTGATAATCAAAAGAATATGTAGAAGAGAATAATTTGGAGTAACCAGAATGTAGTCAGGAGAAAAATAAGTGAATCAGAGTATATTTCAATTGTGCCTGTCCTTACAAGTGACTATATACCTCCCTTTTATAGGTATCTTGAAGATATGTGTTTCCTTCAAATCATAATGAGGCTATTATGAATAATTAAAGACATTGAATGCTACGTTACACAATCATTGTAATCAATACAAATTCTCTAACGTATCCGGTATTTAATGCCTATCGAATTCCGTATTTGCTCTCTTTATTATGGTCAGATCCGTTCCTTTAGATAAATGATATAAATAGGTACGGACGCTGAATCCTTCAAATGTCCTCCCGTGCCTCTTCCTTTGCCTTTGCTCGTTTCTATTGCTGCCCGTGACTCTTGACTAATTATAATTCTTTGACTCTTTGACCAGTCCACGTGTCTCAACATATATAAATTCAATTTTTCCCAATACAGATAGTCCCCCCACTTTCCATTTATTCATCAATTGAATATTTGGGAAGTGGATTTCATTAAAACGAGAATTTTTGTCACCATTAATGCTATGACAAAATTGACGCTTCAATTGTCACTTCCATTTAATATTTCATGCACGTGTCAATTTTTCATTGGCTCTGCAGTTTTTGCAGCCTTTTTCAAGGTTTTTACGGTGCCACTATTAACGAAGTGCCAGTTATCATAATTATGGTCTTTCCACCTCTGCACTTTTACCTTTGGCGGTTGCTTATCAGTACAAATATAATTTTTTCCTTTGTCTTTTATCACATAAAGCTTATTGAACACTTATTTCTCCAAATCTTTGTTGACTTCTTCCTTAGATCATTCCTCTTCGATATGTCTTCTCCAAGCCCTAACCCTGAGAGAGTTTTCATTACTGACTCCTTCCCTAATGCCCCTGTTAGGCACAGAAGGGGAGGTAGACTTCGTAGTTTAGGATCTACTCGAGGAGGTGGTTCGCCTATGCCTTCTTCTGGTTCTGGTCCTTCCTCTAGAACCAGAGGTTCCCTTTCTCAAAAATCTTCTTCTAGGGATAAAGATCATTCTGAACCTTTATGCGAACCTTTAGTAGATGAGATAGTCCCTTCAGAATTGTCTTTTTACCATGACAGGGAATCTCTTAGAAACCATGTTTCCGCATTAGATCGTGTCGATACTTACCCTACTCAAATTACAGAGGTTTTGACTACTATGGTTCGTAAGGACTGTCATTGGAGTAATGATTTTCCATTATTATCCCTAATTCGAATCAGAGAATTACTTCCTATTTAACGGGGTTCTCTTTTGTTTACACTTACCCTTTTACTTTAGGGTTTATATCAGCAATTGACCTAGTCATTCTTGAATTTTGCCGTTTCTTCAATGTCTGCTTGGGTCAAATTGGCCCAATCATATGGAGGGCAGTTGCCTGTTTAAGGCATTCAACCACTAGAGCTGAAGCTCGTTTTACTTTCCCTCACTTGATTCATCTTTACTCATCACCTAGGCGTTTTCGTAATGGTATTTTTACACTAGTAGCCAGGAGTAAGAGGGTTTTGGTGAGCCATGAAGATGACAAGGATCGTGGCTGGTATGCCCGATTTGTTGCTGCCCCCACTGTTGGTTTAGGGGGTGAATATAATGTTCCCTTCCCTGAGAAGTGGAATTTTGCACGTAGGTCTTTTATCCCTCTCGTACCTTCTTCTTTCAAATTTATCAGCTTTACTAATTTTACCCCCCGCCCTTGTTTTTCTTTTTAGCAACCATGGGAGTTGTGGGGGATGTTCCCAATTTCCGTGGTTGGGTAGATAAATTGTTGAAGA